GGGGGAGGAAGGGAGGGAGAAGAGGGGGGAGGAAGGGAGGGAGGGAAGAGACCGCAAAGTTGTTTTCAGGCAAAATTAAGATAAAAAATGCAGCACAATTTGAAATGCAGTTGCTGAAAATGGAACTGGGTTTGTTGTACACAATGCAGGACTTCCATCTGAAAGCTGAAGAACCTTCTCTTTAATCTGCCTACACAATCCTGACGTATCAACAGCCTTGCAAATAACCCTATGAAGCTCTTTAATAACTACTTAGGAGACCAAAGAGTCTGTTTAGTTTTCAGTAAACAGAATCCATCACCTGGAAAAGAATCCTGTTGACATTTCAGGCTCTCCATTAGCCGATTTCTTATCTGCCTGCTATTGTAACCCCAGTTAAGGGAATTCTCTATCTCTCAACTACTTTCCTGCAGGGTTGAGAAGTGGGTTGATTGCTCCTGAACGTGGCCGGCAGTTGTCATGTTTGCCAGAGTAATCAAACATGATAGATATGTCCTAAGAGCACCCTTGGATTACTGGATGTTTTGAAACCATCAACTTGAGCTGCCAAGGTGCCAGGTTGCTGACACTCTCCATGACAAATGGTTGAAGTAGTTGATTATGGAAAGGTCCTATCAGTAAAAGTCAACCAAGATCAAACCTTGACTATAAATGACGCCAAAAGAAATGGTGAAACTATCAGTAAGAAACTGCCTTGCTAAAGCAAAGTCCAACACAGGTGTCCTTATGAAGAAAAACACCATCCTGAGTGCAGAGTCTCCAGACTCCACAGGTAAAATGCAGTTGTGCAGCAGTTGCTGGAAAGCGACAATAAGAAATGGTTGGTAATCATTGCCCTGCATGCAGGATCCCAGAAGCATTGGACTGCCCACTGCTGCCTTCCTCAACCTGACACCCATTTAGAGGGCACCTGGTTGGGCTGGTCCATTAGATCAGGGTTCCTCAACCTTGGCAACTTTAAGACGCGTGGACTTCAACTCCCAGAATTCCTCAGCCAGCATCTGGCTTCTTAAAGTTGCCAAGGTTGAGGAACCCTGCATTAGATGAAACAGGAATAAGACTAACTAGTTTCTCTAATCTAGCAGCCCTCTTGTTTTTCCCCTTGCCGCTCTAAGCAATACCTGGATGCTGGGACAGATGGCAAAACAGATGACATCATTTCAAACTATAAGTAGCAGACAGGCACCCCTCTTTCCTGCTTCTCATTTTAAAAAAATTCCCTGGAATTAGAAAACTTGTGCATCAGGAAGAGTGTTCAGGCCTTTCCTTTCCTGATTATGTATGTATCTGTCTGTCTGTCTACTTTCATAGCTGTCCATTCTTAACCACACTGATGCCAAAATGATGAAATCACAAGACAAGCCCCGCTCTTCCATACTTAGGGCAAGATATCACACACAAGGATATGTGTCATGATGTCACAATGCATGCTTGGTCCGTTGCCACCCCTTAAGGATGCCTACATTTCCTCTGCTTAATAAGAGAGCATTTAACAACAGGGTGGTCTACACGCTGTCCAAAGTGACAGCTTTCATCCTACAACTTCTGCATACTACCAATACTTCTACAGCATCAGCGACAACTGAAACAGCTTCCCCACTCCCAGTAAACCAGACCGGGAGACTCAGTCCAGTCTTTAACACTTACTGGATCCCATCATTTTGAATCGTATATGGAGGTGTCATGTGACTAGGAAATCAGCCAGACAGGTTGCATAATTCAGTTCCTTACTGATCTGTTCTCCCTCTCCCTAATCCCAGCAAAACTCCAGCCTCATTGAGGAAGAGATCAAGAATGTACTTTGCTACCTTTGTTCCAACATCTAAGGGGACCCCATCATAACAGAGGGGACTCTGTTTTCCAACCTTGATTCTAACTGAGCAGAGGAACCAGATGTCCAGTGAGGTGTGCAGGGAAAAACCAACCTGAGATGTATAGTGAATGGTGCTGCTAGAAACGTTCTTTTCTTTTTCTTATCTCATGCCTTGGTTCCTTTGTCTTACTACTCCTTACTGCTTTTCTGTGCTTTGCACAGCACTGCTTCCCCCAAAAGAAGAACGCCTAACCCCATGTTGGTAATGTATGTAGGAATACACACCTGATATACATTCCAATAGCATAAGCAACCAAGAAAGCATTATCCAGGGCTCCAAACAGCTCCTTATAGTTATCCTGATCTGGGAAAAGATAGAGCATAGAGTGAGTTCAGGGTCTTCCACCAAAGGAGCAATTTACACAGTTTTCAGAACTTGAACAAGTGGTATTTGGAAGGGGATAAACAAGAAAGGAAAACCCTAGGAACAATGCTTGCCTCCCAAAACATTGGCAAAAAGATGGGATAAAATTCCATGAAGAATTGCACCAATGAAGAAATGCACCAATAAAGAATCCATGTGGTCCTTGGCTTTGTCTTCTACATTCCCAACTGCAAACAAGCTTTTAAACAGACTGATTTGCACCTGACATCCCCCACTCTGGATTCAGTGATAAACACTTTGCTGTCACAAGACATCAGGTCAATCACCAACCTTTCTAGTTAAAAAGGATCAGAGGATGATGAGTTCTTTTGAAGACTCAGGATGTTAACGTTCCTGGGGCTGTAGTTTAGTCTTATAGGATATGCTTTCTGATTCCATTTGATTATAACATTACTCGGTTGGATGAAAAGTAATAATCAATCCTCACTTCAAATCCTGCACAATATTAAGGTGGGCCCCAAACTGATGAGGATGACTCAAGGCCACTGCTTCGAAAGCCTTGGATGAGTAGCACCCAGAAGAAAGCTTCGGATCAAGTTATCTGTTTGAGGCTGTATGTCCCTTGCAGGTGGCAAGCTCTCCCTTTTTGGCCTAAGCAGCTCTGTGAAGGTGCTCGAATTGCTGATAACATGAAAGATTTTTAATTTTTGGCATAATTTTAATTGCCAAAAAATTAAATATTTGCTAATTTCCAGCCACCCCAAATCAAGGACACTTTATGTGGCTCTCAACAATATAGAGAAGTCAAGGTTCAGATAAGTCATCGCATCAGAACACTTGGAAGGCACCGTTTTGTTTAATGGACTGTACTGGGATCAAGGCTTAAGGTGGTGATAAAGGCTGCCCTACAGGTGGTCTGGTTTCTGCTACAGCCCAAAAGCAAAAGTTGCTAGAAGAAACCTTAGAATGCAAAACACCTCTTCAATTTTTCAAGCAGGAGGAAGAATAGCCTTGAAAAACATACTGAACAGATGGGGAGTAGTAAACACCACCAGCCAAGGAAGGACAGGGCTTCTGTTCCTTCCCACCATACCTGTAGATACCAGGATAGGACAGAATGCAGAAAAGATGCTCTCCTCTGAGCTACAACCCTTCCCCATTTCACAGTGCCTTAGTCTTTACCTATCCAGCCCTCCTGTCCTACAGCAATTTGATGACCCAAGATGACTCTGGTTTTGATGGGAAACAGATACTAAGAAATACCTTACCAAAAGGCTTCCAGTCACACCACGTGGTGCTGTTTGACTCATTGTTTGGTCTGGATCCCCGTGAAGAACAGTTATAATGCAGTTCACTCTGACAAAAAAAAAGAATAAATACCAGATGACGATGATCATCCTCATCATCATCACTATAGTGATATCACTTTTATGACATCAGCATGACTTTTAGGAGTATGTAAGGACAAATCTGTTAACAAGGAGTTTATAATCTGGAAAATGAGACAGAGAGAAAGGGGAGGCAAGAGTAAAACAGGAGAAAAATATCCATCGAATACTGCTAAATATTTACTTGGAAGTACTACATTCTCTTTTCCAGTGTTTCTCAACCTTGGGAGCTTGAAAATGTGTGGACTTCAACTCCCAGAATTCCCCAGCCAGCCATGCTGGCTGGGGAAT